GCCTGTTTTGAATGATTTACGCTTTTTTTTTCTTTGACACAGGATCCCTGTGTTGGGTGCGGGGTAAAGCCCGTGACTGAGGCACAGGGATCTCGTTTTAGCGTTTTTTCACAGAGATGAATGTGCGCCTTCCTTTGCGCTCACAAGAAGCTGATGTTCTCTGTTTCCGGCAGCCAATCACGTTGCGTCATTCTAGTTGAAGCCACCAATGGCCTCCATAGGATTAAAAAAAGCCACCAATGGCGTCCATAGGATTATAAAAAAAACCACCAATCACCTCCATAGGATTAAAAAAAAGCCACCAATCAAATGACATAAACAAAGGGAAAATTTTGTGGGGAAGAACATCAAACTCACACTCAGCCAACTTTGTAAATGCGAAAGAAGTGTTACACTTTGACTGAAAAAAAGCTTTGAAAACTACTCGATTTCTTTAGAACTGTTACACACAGTTCTAGTTTTAGTATTAGTTCTATTTTACGTGTTTTGAAGTTCTATTTTTTTTTTTTTTTTGATTTCTTGCGTAAAAGTCAAGCGTGTTCTCGTAAGTTTAGCGTGTTCCCGTAAGTTTAGCGTGATCTCGGGTCTTCGGAAGTTTTTCTTTCGGTGCGTATCAAAACATTAGTATGGCCCTTCTTCCCAAGTTCAAGCAACACCACAGAACTGGAGGACCGATGATGAAACCAAGTCCTGAAGCAGACGCCTGGATCGAAGAAAAGAAGAAAGCAGAGAAACAAAGCGGAAAGCCTAAAATCGAAAGAAAACTGCAAGAGAAGGTAAGCTTTGATGCGCTTCGTTCACGATCTTTATACACAAATAAGCTTACATATCGTTTTAATTACTTCCAACTGTGTTTAATGATCTTTTTAAGCTCGATATCATTAAAGGGTTACGCATTAAAGCACACTTAAGCCGCTATAAGTATTTGTAATGACTTCGGGTCGACCTTTATTGTAAATGCTCGAGTGATTTTTATTCAAGCTCGATGAAGCCTGTCACTGTTTATAAAATGCTTTATTGACTTCAAATACAACTTTTCATAAGACTTCTCTATTCTTTTACAACATAGAATCTGTTAGAATTCCAGTGATTCGTTGTAGACAAGTTATTAAAACTTCCAAAGTTTTGTTTTGTTTATTTATTGCTAAGCAACGAAATGCGTTTTTACATGTCTATTTCCTTCATTTGAAGGTCGATAAAGAAGCTAAAGAAGCCGTGAAAAAGCGAGGAGGAGATGTGAACGATCGATTAGATGTGCTAGGAGAGTACACCATCCAGTTTGGTGTTTATCTTGGCCAAACATTTCGATGGATGCTCGAAAATTACCTTGGGTATGCTGTATGGATTGTATCATCTAGTAAACAAAGCACAGACAAAACACCCTATGCTCAAAACGTTATCACACTACTAAGACAGCGAAGCCTGGGCAACAGTTCGACTTCCTTACATAAGAAATTAACTGAGGAGCATAGTGAGAAGTGGTTGAGGCAGACCAATCAATACCTGAATGAGTGTAAATATATCTGTGATGCTGCTAAGAGAGGGCTGTTGAAACCTCCCGTCTTTGAAGAACCACCAGCATTGAAGCCTGTACCAAAGTTCAAGTGGCTATTGTCTGTGTATGCCATTGATATTATGAATAGAATGGATTTCATTAAGGCTTCGATTACGTCCACGTTTGTCAGCATTCTGAAAATGGATTCAACAAAGAAGATAGTGAAAAAGTTGCCGGGTCACAGTGCAGGTATTTTAACAGTGCAATTATTATATAACTGTCACAATAATAAACATCCTAGTATGTTTAATTCTTATCCTTTTCAATGTTATTTATAATTCTGTTTTCTTTTTATCCAGGCACTGCATCATGGGCTACTAACATTGGAAACGAGCGAGGAGAAGTGTTAATGAGTGTGTCGACAGCAAGTGAGGGTGTTGGTCTAGACCAAATGGCAAATGGACTGATGAGGAGATATGACATGGCAGGTGTACCCCCGCATAAGATTTTATACGTTGACAGGGATTGCTGCAAGGGAATGTGTGTGAAGACGAAGGAGTTGTTCTCCCTATGGGACCGCTTGATCATTAGATTTGACATCTGGCATTTCATTAGACGGCTGCTGGGTGCCACACTGAAGCTCACCCCCTATATGGAGTCTACTTAGGACGTCTCTCACAGTGTATTTTTGAGTGGGACAAGGACGATCTGGAGCTCCTAAAGTCTGCTAAACGAAATGAGATGCAGCAACAAGGCATCAGAAACCCTTCTGATGATGACATCATTTCTCGCATTGGACGAAAAGAGCTAGCCTTGCACTGCAGAAGAAAGACCCGCAGTGAGGGTGAAATAACCCGCCTCATTTACAATCTGCTTGAGACATTTACTGGGGAGGAAGGCTTGCTAAGAGAGAGAAGCCTTGGTAACAGTGCAACCCAGCTACAGAAGAAGTTGGAAGAGCACAGTGAAAAGTGGATKAAGAGGACAATCCAGTACCTCACAGAATGCAAATATTTTAAAGATGCGTCAAAGGCCAGACTCATATACTGCCCTACCTTTGAAGATTTCCCTTTATTTTCCCTTGTAGAACCTGTTTTCATGTATTATATCAGTCAATATCACCTTGCCTAAAATTGGTTTATCGGAAAAAACAGTGGAAAGAACGTCGAAGTGGACAAAAGTGCTAGAAAAAATCGACAAATGTCCTAAAATGAGGGGGAAAGCTGATTTTGATCCTTGGGGTCGTAAGCTACATTGTTCCTATGGATTTCACATCCCAGTCGTAAAGGTATGGAATACACTGTATATATAAAGTGAATATTTTTTCGTTTGTGTCGTGAGTTAGTGTTCTTGTTAGTCATGTCTTTCAGGCCACCATTCATTGTTGTCTAATTATTGAATCATAATTTCTCTTTGTAGCAGTCATCAACTGCCACAAGAACATCAACGAAAGTGACAAGTGCGTCATCATCATCAACTCAATCATCTACAAGTACAGAAAAGGTGATTACGCCACAAAAAGATACAGTCCATATCTTGATGAAAAAATATTGAAAATAGATATTTTGTTATCCACAGACAGCAGATTTTGGTGTTGTTTCTAGCGTGAATCGTGGCCTTGATGTTACCAATGATCCTACTCCCTCGACGTCTATGTTAACAGTTAATGTAAGTACTGTTTTTAGAGATACTTCGCGCAATCTATTAATATTTGACTTTTGGCTAAAGAGTTGCTTGTTATTTTGTTAATAGGTTGATACTGAATTGAGTCAATCGTCCGCATTTATGACAGATACAGACATTACAACTGACACTCTTCCCTGGACGTCTGGAATAGTTCATGTAAGTATCGTTATTAGGCTGTAGGCTAACAATAATACTATTTGCTATTTTAATAGGATAATACTTCTAGTCAACTGTCCGCAAATCTACCACATAAAGATATTAGAACTGACCCTCTTCCCTCAACGTCTGGGATAAGAGTTCATGTAAGTATTGTCATTTGGATGATTACGAGAATAAATCCTAAGCAATGTATTAACTAAAGACATTTGGCTAATATCTTATTTTATTGTTCGTTTATAGGATAACACATCCACCACCTTCAAGTCAACCTTCGTCAAAAGTACAACTGATTTCAGCCTTCGTCTTCCTGTGGGATGGAGAGACACAATGGCGCCTGGAGACCAATCATGGGTTGGTCACGCCCTCTACATAAATTACAGACCAAACTGCAAAACTAGTCCGTCAGTTAAAAATTACTTTCTCCGTCGGCTGTTTCTTTGGATGCCACGAAAGATGTGCGCCAGTGGACTTCAACTGTCCAACTTGCAAAGAAAGGCGTTCTCTTSGCTCCAAAGGTGTGTACAACCGTGTCCGTATCGTCCTGGACAACCAAGACTACTACCTTGCGACAGAATACATGGACTGTAACGCGTTTGTCTACTTCGGCGGTAATAGACCCCAGGTTTAGGAAATTCGTTACATGGGATTATCCTCTTCAGAGCGGGGATTTGGAACGGGTGTCAGAAGAAAGCGCAGCGCCACCCGTTGCTCGGGTGCATAGGAGTTTAAATGTGCCATATCGCCAGCAGGATAATGGGAGAGCCGTTTGGGGTAGCCGTGTTTCAGAACAAGAAACACCGGAGGATTCCGGTCCTCATGCACTGACATGCATATTTCTATCCAAGCATACCGAGCTTTTTAAAAATCTTAATTTTTTACAGTACTTTTTGTGTTGGGCACATTCAAATGCCTCTAAATTACGAACAATGAAGAAACTCGTGGTATACTCTGATATGATATTGCTTTTGGATGTGTTTCAGATGTTGTCCAAGTTTACATTGAAAATATCATTTAGAAATAGGTATTAAGGAAAATACGCCAAAACTTCAGCCATGAAACCAGAGAAGATAATATATTAACTCCTTGAGGCTCAACCAAACGCAATATCCAGTACATCATATTGCATGTTTTATTGTCGATTTATTGCTGATTTTCCTCTGAAAACCATCTCCAATAGACAATGGGAAGTGTATCCTGCATTTAAAATCGATAATTCTGAATGAGCAAACAATGACATTGTAACCAAATACTCGCATGTTCCAGGTAGTAAATGCATGGTAGTTAGACCTCTGAAACTATCAAGCTGTGAAACAAAGCATCAAATTTCCCCACGAATTTATGAAGGCCTTAGGACCGGGTCGCACTAATGGTTTGTTTCTGTTTTGTCGGGACAAACGGTTTTACAAAAAGTTGTTTTGCCAAAAAATTGTTTGGTGAACCAAGGTCGCACTGACTTGACAATATGTCAAACAATGTCAATACGATAAGTATGTCAATACATGATTAGACTCCATGTCGATAATTGATGCCGCGAATGACGTATTTCCCGCGCAAATGACAACCACACTGAACTAGTACTTTATAGCGATGAATCGAAAACAACTTGCTTTCGTCCTGCTCTTTTACGCTATTTTAGTTCTACATTTTCACTTGCATCGTGTCTTTATATTTACATGTCTTGCAAGACTACAGAATTTAAACCTACAACTAAATATGTTATTAATACAAAGACAGCTACGAAGACGCCGCCGAAGAAATCATCTGTATCGTTAGTCTTTACCAAAGCCAGCCGAATCGTGGTTTGAAATACCAGGAACTTTCTTCAGGAAACAGCTTCGAATGGATAGAGGTACATTCGATGAGCTCTTTAAYGTCCTTAATCACTCCATAACAAGGCAAAACACACGTCTCAGAAATTGCGTACGACCTGAGAAGGTACTCGCCACTACATTGTATCGACTCGCACACAGCAACTCTTACGCTACGATCGTTGCATCACTTGGCATTGGTAAAAGTACGACAATCGAGGCTGTTCAAGATGTAGTTGAGGAGCTCTATCAGCTGCGAAATGTCTACATCAAATTTCCTACCACTGAAGCAGAAACCCGTGCGAGTATCAACACATTCAGCGACCTTTCGGACCTTCCGAAAATTGCTGGGGCAATAGATTGTTCCCATATAGATATCAAAGCTCCATTTGAGAGTACAGTGGACTACTTCAGCAGATACCAGAGATACGATTTCATTATTCAAGGTGTAATCGACGGCAACAAAGTTTTTCTTGATTTCGCCGCAGGTTTCCCCAGGAGTTCTCCTTTTCCTTCGCCTCTTTTTTCTGTCTGTCCTCGATTCTTTCTTTGATTTTGCATCATCTTTCTCGCCCTCTTCGGTATCACTTTCATCAGGATTTGAGCCCGGAGTTGCTGCAGTTGAGGCCGAACTATTAGCAGTGCTTGTGGATGTAGAGGAGTTGCTCGAAGCTGTCGCATCAGTTTCCTTTACGTGTGCGAATGTCACAGAGTCTCTGCATCCCAAAACTTCGTCAATCTCGTCGTAGAATATGGACTTTCGAAGAGGTCCTCCGGTTGATTTTTATTCCAGTTCCTCTTTGCTTTAAAGAGATCAACGAGCTACTTCATCTTTCTAAGACATTTATCAGAGGTTATATTTGTCTTGCACTTTTTATTCAGAGTTCCTGCGATATTTTTCCATGCCTTTCTGTTATCTTTGGAATTTATAGTGTCTCGTTTGTCAGCCCACAACTGCACAAGCATTTGCTGCTGGTCATGATTCCAGCGTTCGTATTTCATGACGTTCGTGGAGGTCGTTGTACCAGGTTCAATCTCAGAACTCCCCGTCATTGTTGGATTTGATTCTTGGCTCTGTGATGGAACGTTGATATGTCCGCTGCTTTGCGCTGTAGCATCTGGCTGGTTTCTTTGCTGCTGACCATTATTGTAATGATAATTGAAGTAGTTTACGTCAAATTGATAAGGATAGTATTGAGAAGTACTTGGATACGGCCACGAGGGATCCATTATGTTGGCGAAGTGGACGTCAAAGTGACATATGACCTCGCTCGGGTTCAGTTTACGATTCTGGCCAACAAGTCCAACCAAGACCAGGAAGTTTATTGACATAAAATGGCACCTTTCTATTGTTTGGTTATTTTTGTCCGAGAATTGTCCTGCTTTGGAGGCCTACAATTTTAATCGGTGGCACCTTTGAAAGTTTGTTGAAATTGGACAAAATTTGTCAAGCCGCAACAATTCGGTGGCATTAGAAAACTGTATTTGATTACAATGTTTTGGTTAAACAGATTACAACAGTTTTTTTGTCCAGTGCGACCCTGGCCTTAGTTATTTTTCTCATAGAAATGGAATGTTTTGAAGATTTATGACACACTAATTTAGTTATCTTTAAAGTTTTTCTTGTTTATTTAACATGTAAAGAYGCATTGACACAACACTTTTGTACAACAGAACATTTTCAAACTTCATTTGACTATAACAATACAYATTTCAATTGACAGAAATCATAATATACAGCATGACTTTTGGGTACAATTCAGATTTAGCTTCTTTAGTTTCATACGATGAAAGAACTGCTTGGAAATATATATTCTCAGATAAAACAATGCAATATGCAGACCAATCTATTTAGGTAGTGAAAATCTTTGTCATTTTCCAATTGAGAAGAAATCAACGTAAAACTTCAGACAAGCACTGTTTATATAAGTAGAGAAAAAAGATTTTCTGAAACATGAAGAAAGTGGTGTAAAATAGATATAAGTTTTTGAAAGAGTGCTTCCTTTGAATTATAAAGGCTTTTTCTTGCCCTAAATTACGTGAAAAGCCGCTTTGAAGTCACATACAAGGGATAAAAATATAAAATGTCTTCTGAAGTGTTTCTTTGAGAAGGTCTAGACCTATATAGCATGTAAACATGTGATTAGCTATGACGTCAGAGTTCGGAGAAGAAGCGTGCTCGGAAAAATGACAGCTTTGCAAGTGTAGTTTGTGTTGAGAAATAAAGATTGTTTAACCGTACTCACTTGGATTACATTTTAGTTCCTTGGAGTATGAAATATTTGCCATTACTTCATGACAAGTTTGAAGAAATATCACCAAAATATTTGGGTGTAGCATGCAAAATAAAATGCCCGTACATGAAGCGCTCTTCCCTACATGTTGGCCATTTTGCAGCAAAACACGCGGGATCTGGGGAATGGAACTGGCCGTGTCCTCCCCATTTCAATGATATGTCTTCAAAGCGCGGATTGATAGTGTGTTTGTTATAGGCCGAAATATATCACTATAATTTTTTCAACGATTGCATTTGAACTCGGAAAGTCTCAGAGACGGAACAAAACGTTTGATTCGATGCTCCTAACTTTTTTCTTTATTATTTTATACGCTTGAAACCTTCATTTCCCCTTAGATTTCTATGTCTGAAGTACAACTTCGTTCCTGGATTAAGCATATGTCGTCATATGCTTCACGTTTGTGTTAAACCGCCAACCGATGTCACTTCGGCTCATATTAATGGCGGATAGGAAAAAAAACGACTTTCAAAGCTCTATTTCCACTGCTTTTCAATGATGTATCGATAAAAAAATTCTCAGAAATACTTATTTGGATCTTCATAAAGAGGTATATGTACACAAACAGCTCAAATTCGATGTTCGGTTTKYATCGTAACCGCACTTCAATTTGTTTTGTATTTCAAAATACAAGCTCCACCAGCAACATCCCCTCCTGATCACTTAGCTACAAAGCAGCCTACAACATCCAGTGTAGCTACAAAGCAGCCAACAACTACCACTGTAGCTAAGCAAACCACCACTAAAAAGAAACAAAATAGCAAAATAGCAAGGTGGAATGCTGACCGAGCTGCTAAATCTGTGTCTAAGGTGTCAAATGTACTGACAACATACAGCAGAGAGCTGGTCCATGTCATTAATAATCTCAGTTTGGATGTCATGGGGAAGAAAATACAGCCTAATGTCACACAAGTTGGTATCTGTACAGGTATTTCTTGCATATTATTTTCACGTTACTTTACATGTATGTTCCAGCTTGTGAATGAATGTTATTAATGAATTACATTATCTCTTTCAGGGGAACGGATTGGAGTTGACTGTTTGTACAGACAGACAGGGCAAGTTCTTGAAAACAAGTACGATAATTATGATGAGGAAGAAGACCAAGAAGATGTCCCCTTGTCAGATTTTGATCCAGATCAGATAGATGAAGGGTTTGATGAAAGTGAAGACAATGACACTGTAGCAATAGTTGAGGAGGTTTATACCATGTCAGTTGAAAACATGACCGTTGGCAGTGATAAAGGTAAAGTAGGTTGATAATTAGAAGACAAATACTGGCCATGTGTATTAATTTTATTTWATKTTGTTTTCCTTCTAAATAGTTSCAGAAAGTGACAGTAGCACTTCTGACGAAAGCCCTGCTGAGGACGTGTCAGATGAATTATCGCGTGAGGCAGAGGTAAATTCATTATGCACTTTCAATCAGCTACAATGACAATGACAACACACTCCAATAACAACAACACATTACAACGCAGACACAACAAACAGGGACTATTACCCACACCACAACACAGACATCAATCCCACACTGACAATCCACAAGCACCATACTACAACCTTTTACTCACAATTATTGACAAGGAATTACCACTCAACCCAACAGAAATATCTACAACAAAGACTAACCGATAACAACCCACCACTAGAACTAATACCCACCATAACCCCACATACCACACTCCCACCACATTTGCTAAMAGAATGGCAATCAACCACACTACAAGCCCGAATACAACAAAAATACTAATGACACACCACACAGAGCTCCTTAAACAAACCTCCACTGATTTACTGACACAATCCCGACTTATCACGCGAACAACACCTAACAAAGACATAGCACTACACCTAATAGCCAACGCCGAAGAGCAAACCACCAACACCCTAACGACACACTCATAGACACAACCCCTACAATACCACCAGACCCTCCACCCACACGATTACCCAACCACCGTCACTACTTACACTTAMTACACACCCCACCAAGCCACCCACCTGGAAGACACTCTGCAACTCGTCACCCCAATGGGCTCCCGACAAAGCCCAACAGGTAAAATATAATGACTATAGTACCACCTGAACATGCTCTAAACTACACTCACACCAATAAAATTTAATTATCCTCCATTTTCCTTTTTATTTTTATTTATTTAGTTCTTCATTTATTCTGTATTTTTATTAATTTCATTAATTATACCTTATCTTTATTATATACCTGGCTTTCCAAACTACACGTTCTTAACCATAAAATTCTGTATATTTTATTTCATTTATTTACTTATCTATTTAATTGTTTTATTATTTAATTATTTTATTTTTATTTATTTAGTTATTCATTTATTCTGTATTTTTCTTGATTTCATTATGTAGCCAAGTGATTTTATGTAAACATTTATAGTCCCAGTACCAATACTGACATAATAGTTAAATAGTAATTTTAGTTATAGATTTAGCCAATCACGTAAATTCGTTCTGACAACTACTGTCAATCAATGAAGACAGCATGGTAAGAGRTTAGCGTGGTTTTTGTAGCATATATTATTYGGCRTCGCAAGACAAAGATAAAGAGCAATTTTAACAATCAGTGGTAAGATTTTCTCATCTTATTTATAGAATAGCTTTCTAGCAATACGTTATACTATTTTATATACACTTAAGATTGTTAGTATGTACTTTAAGGTCAATTAGMGTTGTTATTAGATACTTAAAATCAAGTTGCTTAAGTATACAGTATTGACCTCGTGTTCATTTGGTTGATGTAGTTTTCGCTTAGTTTTACGCATAGATTTATTCTATTGCTATTGTTCTAGACATATATTCTTAATTGTATCCATTTTATTGTTGTATTTAGTACGTGTAATTAGCTGAACATTATGCTTTTGTTGTATAATTATTTACACAATAATCGCTACCGAAGCATGAATCTGATCTCAGATATACAAGTACTTAGTTAAGTTTATTGTATTTGTTTTAGCTACACACTGTACTTTGCCGCCCTTTTGAATTTGTAAACGTTTATCACAAATAAACAACAGAGAACCTGTAAGCTATACTACAATTAATTATACCTTATCTTAATTATATACCTGGCTTTCCAAATTACACATTTTTACCATAAAACGTCCCTTGACGGCTACTCTACTATCACACAACTCAACATGGAACATAAAATAGCTCGACTTAGTGGACTTTTAGATAGATTTCATTGAAATGATTGGAAATGACTCAAATCTCACCTTCATACAGAGTAGTCTGTGTTCTTTTTAGCGCGAATCTCGTGTTGTCCTGATAGTTTTAGCTGATTAGATATCAAGACGCACTGAGATGCTTGTCCATTTATTTTGCTTTCAAATGTATTCGAACACTGAACTTTATAAATTATATATTTGAAACAAATAGGAGATTTATGTTTTGATAGCCGAACCACGTGTCTTATGTTTGTTATC